ATGAAAGAATTGAAATTGAAAGTAATTGTATGCTCATTTTTCGATATTTTTTCCAATGAAAACGTCTTGTTGAAATATGTTTTCTCCAAATTATTCGAAAAAGTAATGAAATACTAAAAAATGCTTCCAAAATATTGCATAAAACTCCATTAAAAAAATAATCCCACGTATTCATCCATGTTATATCTTGATAACATGGATATGAACCACATGCTAAATCATTTGAATAAAAAATATTTTGACATGGTGGGAATAAAATTACACCAACATAAAATCCAATTAGATAAATTGAAATAATTATTAAAGGAAAATAATGTAAATAAAATATTTTACGTTTTGTATTAAGAAGCTGTCGTCGATAGAATATGAGAATATGTCTTTCGAATGAAGCCCACAGAAGAAATATCGGTATCGCACCATAAAATCCATAATCAATAAACCACCATAAAAGACATACACCTGTTGAAAATGGAAATGAATTTCCATGAACCATGCGCAATCCATCAAGATAAAATGAATTATCAACAACCAAAATAATCAAACATACAAAAAGTAGAACTATTACAACATGATTTTGTAATTTTCTACGTAAACGTCGATTAAATATTAAATAATAAAGAAGATATATAGTACAAAAAAGTGATGGAATTTCAAACACAAGATATGTCCAAAATTGTACTTTAGCTGATGGAATAATCAATTCTTCATGATCATAATCATATGAATAGGTACTATTTTCAGTTTCATTGTCAACCATGATACATACAACGACGTGTTTTTTTTATTACAATAAAATTTGTATGAAGAACAATATTTTCTTGTTTTTGATCACATTAATTCACTGATGAATACAATACCATGTGAAAGAATGATCTAGAGTCAAAAGAAAAAGTGGAAGAAATATGAAGAAAACCTATTCGCACGAACTTAACAGGATGAATGCTTTTTTCCTGTAATATAGTCATATTGTTAAATATATTTGAGATATTGATGTCTACAGTATACAAAAAAGAGATTTTTTTAATCCTGTATCTAATGCTCTTAATAGAAAAGATCATATTTTTCAAGATATGTTATTAAGCTTCTTAAAAAACTAAAGCAAGAGCTTTCTAGTTTAACATGTAATTGTTTTTTTCCAATCAGTGAAGAATTTTTATAAGAGAATATTTATTTGACCTGTTAGGTTCTAGACAATGACTCATCTAGAAATATTGCCCATGTAGGTCGAGATAAAAATTTTTATCAACAAAAAAAATCACAGAGGAATAGTTTTGATATCAAAACAAAATATGTGCGGAACCAAGTTTTGTTGATTCTCGATGTCTGTCTGCTTCGGATCGTAATTCTATTAAATTTGATCTAGTTCCATCTTAAAGAAAACTATGTCAGAATTTACTCGTATTAAATCTAGAAACAATGTTTTAAATAATTCGTTTTTGATTAACTCAGTCAATAAATGTCACTTGTATTGTGAACATATCTTCTAAATGTTGCTGTGATTGTTGTGACCTTTAACATAATTCACTAAAAATCATCGAAAATCTAATTGCAATTTTTAGTTCTTGTTCGAACAGCTTTTGGTCTTGTCGTACCAGTCCAGGTAAATTTTTATTTTGTGGTCGTGGTCCCACACATCTTTAATGAAAAATATTATTCTTGAGACGAAAATAAACGTGAAATATCGGTAATATGTTTTATCAAGAAGCTATTGTTGAATAATAAGATTCAACACAAAATACTTTTCGACGCGCTTTCCTTTTTATCAATAAATATGACATAAAGTAACAAAAAAATATATTCATTCACCTTTATTGTAACATTTATTAGTGCAATTTCATTGGGATATGAATAGATAATATGGAGTCATCATTTTAAAATCTCATAATTGCGATCTTGTGGAGCGTGATCTAAAGTGTAGGGAAACACTTTTTGTTCCGTTAATGGATAATTCAAATCGTATTTTGTTATTGACAATTTAAATGCCACTAATATATGAAGAAAATCCCTCTATCTGTATCATTAATTAGCTTGACAAATAGAAAGTTGATCAAGACTAATTAAGCCTATGAGCATAGATGTATTTTTTGGCACAACAGTTAACTTTCTATGTATTATATTGTTTTACAGCTACTCTAAGAAAAACTACCCTAAGTATTAACGTCGTCGCATAACCAAAATTGAATATTGTTTATTTTCCACTGCTTGGACTCGACATTTTATTTTAATAAAAGTTAAATACTAAAATTTATTTATCTGCGAGATATAGGATGCTCGTATTTTCATCCAAAAAAAAATCCTGAATATTGATAATTTTTCGTAGCCCAATGACGTTTTCTACCTTTTTCTTTATTTCTCATATTTAGAAAAGAACATTTTCCAACAGTAATTTATTATCTGTAAACTATAAGTACTCATAGAAAAAAAAATGATGAAACAAAACGGATAAAAACGCGTTCGTCAGACGCTTTTAGCATTCTTTTTGGATGCATTTTTTTATTCAAACAACACGTTTTTATCCGTTCTTTTTCATCCTTTTTTCTATGAATAATGAGTTTTGTTATTAAAAACTAATGGATGGTACATAAGAATAGCCAGTTTTTGCATTTTCTGTCTGTGGTTCTCTGAAATATTCTTTTCAAAATCAAATGCATTGTAGAAAGTGGCAAAGCGAGCGGTACATTTTGGTATTAAAGATGTTATTTCATATATATATATCTTTGTTTTGAGACTAAACAAAACTTGAAAAGAAAAAATTTTGACTCTGCGAAAGAGAGTAGTTTTTGGTACATAAGTGATACTTTATTACCTTATCAGTTAAAGAGTTGTCAATTTTAATCGTATTGAATTGAATACTTTTACCAATCTTTTCTTACCTATAACTACTTTTAGTACTGATATCAAGATTTGAGGGGCCACCATCAAATATTACAACAGTACACCAAGTTCTCTTCACTGCATATTGATGACTGCTTTTGTATATATGACGTGCTATTTTCCTGTTGATAGATGAACTCATTATCTATCAATTGTTGACCTGTAGAGCGTGCTGCAATATTTGTTTCTTACTGGAAAGAACGTTACATCTTTAGAACTTCTGTGCCTAGAGAGACGAATAAGGCGTGACAAATGAGTATCAGGAAATAAGATATGAAGCAACCTTTCCAGATTATACTCATGTGATGCATAAAGAACTTAGTATATTCTCTCGGTAACTGATGATGATTGTCTAGAACTCTTAATTTATATACTGTAAATAATTCTAGTTGAGACGACGTCGATAAACGTATGCAATCAAATGGAGTGAAAATATGTGGTTCATTAACTAGCAATAGAGTACTATAACGCTGAGTACCAAAAGATGCTCTATTTTGCCATCTTGGAAAATATTTCAATTAAGTTTTGTTTAGCCGCAAGACAAAGACATACTTACGAAATACGGTTTTAATGATAAAATGTAGAGCTTGTTTTTGCTCTGTTTTGTTATGTATTTCATTTTGAATAAAGCATTTCAGTGAGACAAAGAGAATAAATGCAAATATCGGTCATGCGTTATATGCCATCGATCACATACACATCGCTGAACATATTAATCAATCTATTGTTTTTTTTATGATTCGTACTAAGATGATAAGTAAATAGTACAACATTGAATATGTCTTACTAATATTATTGAGAACAAATATGTTACTTTGTCTTTACACAACCATACATGTAGACACAAAAAGCTTAGAAAAAAAATGATTAAAAAATGTAGCATCATCGTGTTGCGTTGATTAAACCGTTCTCTCATCAAAATACGAAGCCTATTTTAAGATTATTGTTTTTCGTTGGATATTATAAACTGACAGCTACAAACCGTCTATAGAAGGTTTCTTTTAATTTAGAAAACATTCGTAGAAAAATCAAGGACGAACGCATCACTCTCATTTTTTTTGTCCTTCTTTCATCATCACATTACCTCATCTATTTTTGCGATACCTTTTAAATAGCTCATTGAAACGAGCTCATTTATTCAGCGACTCGGGGAAAGGTAAATGTACATCAGCCAAGAAAGGAATGAACACTCTAGGAAACCTAACTGCTAAGAAAATTTAATAATATTGTGATGAAAACGTCATCATGCTACGATTAGACAAGCCGATATATATTCGATACTTGGTCCAATGTATCAAGTAATATTATATCAATAATACATGACGAGAAAAGTTTTTGAGCTGATAAATCGCTTTGAAACAGAGACTGCTTGCATTGTTTAAATCTAAATGAGCTATGAATATCCAGAAAAGAGTTCTGAGTCTTAGCTAATTCCTGCGGAGATAATACATTTTTACGGTATTTTTTAAAAGAATGCCATGGTCTTCATCAAGAAAACAAGAAAAACTCATTTTCGAATTTCGACTTGAACCATTGCACAGAAACAGGTCTTAGCAAGAGTAATGTATTTTTGAAAGTTTTAAGTCTTCTGATTTGCTTCTATCCTTAAATGAGAACATCTAATCTGTCGGTGTATTTAAGCAATGTAACAGACACGCTTTTACTATATATAACTATATCTTAGGATAAGAACAATGACAATACCTGAAACTTTCGCAGTAAGCTATTGTCGTTAAGACCTATTTCTGTGCTAAGTTTCAAGTCGAAATTCGAAAATGAGTTCTCTTCGTATGTCTGAAGAAGATCACGGTATTGAATTACAAAATAAAGTAAAAACGCAGTACTTCTGTAGTAATAACAGCGATTTATCAGTGAGGGAACTTGAGGGTGTGGGCGTGGGTAGGTAGGGATGTGAGTGTGAATGAAGCGAGGTGCCTTATCTTCACACCCACACCCATCCTACCTACTGCTCACTATAACACCAACATCCACACCCACCCACACCCATCCTACACTCACACACACACACAATCTACTTTGGAAATAAATTAACTACATGAGAATTCTTGCCAAATTATCTTTACATTATTATATCCAGTAATAGAATTCAAAGATTATCCTCTTAATTACAAAGAAGTCAGCGTGTTATTCATCTCGGACGTCAGTTGGTTCGTTTCTTGTTGTGTTACACTTGAAGACACGGAAGAAATGCCCCATTGTATTGTATAGCGTTTTGTAACATCCCGCTGTCGATATAATACATCCCGTATGCGATCATATTGATTAGGTGATAGTAGATCTTGTATTTCGATCAACCAATTATCAAATTGTTCATCGGTAATTGCTGCAAAACGGTTCAGTGTTTTTTTCATTAAAATACGATCAGCTACTGGCAGTTTGCTGAGATATTGTGCGAATTTTTTTGCTTTTTCTATCGGATCAAACTTAACCACTGCCAGATGAGGACTATGCAACTTGCAAGCCACAAGGCTAATGATATTCAATTTACCCATACCAAAGCAAGAAGTGTGATCGATAAGATGCATCTTCAAGTTTGCAGTATCATCGTCAATAGGAGCATTCTTCGGCATTGTAATTAAAATATTTCGTGGATTACGATCTACATTCTCTATTATATGATCGAGTAGATCCATAGATTCGATTGTTGGATCAGTCAATAGTGTTTTTCTTCTTTGCTTTGGTAGTTCCATGAATGTGATAGTTTTTTCATTTTCATTAGCAATATCACTATGTAAAGTTACCAGATCATTTTTATACACTGAAATTTGTGCTTCATTAACAGATAAACCAAGTGTCATTCCCAAAATATAGGCTAACCATTCATTGGCAGCACATAATGGATGCTCTTGTATTTTGACTAAAAATCGTTGTCCTTGAGGATCACGCATCCATATGGATACATTACTGAAACCTTGATCAGGATTCTGACCTTCGAGTGTCCAATCTGATGTAATTTCGGCAAACGCTGGCTTAAGTGAATTATTGGTAGTTTGGTGTTTCATTTCCATTTGTTTTTGTCTGGCTATTCCTTTCCTCACGGCTTGCAAAATATCGTCACTGACATGTGATCCTCGTGCAAATACATCGACCATATGCAATGTACCATCAACCATTACTTTAAAGGGACCTCGAAGCCAGTGGACAATGTTATTGGAGAGATGTATTTTTTGACTAATTCTTGGTGTTGTACTAGCACCAATGACTCCTGCCATTTTTTCATCTTCTGAATTTATTTCGTTCTCTGCTTCAGTTGAATCAAGTTCACTTTCATTTAAATCTAGTATTAATGGACTCATAAGTTTGAGAAGTAAATGAGACAGTACTGAATTGTCAACGTTTTGCTGTCTTAAGCTATTTCTTGAATTACTAATAATAGATCGTAAATGACTTCTATCTTTCTGTAATAGCGGTGATTCGATTGTTTCTGATACATTGGCCGACTGAACGTTCGTATCATAAGTTTGTAATTTTTCTTGTGATCCTCTTGTGGCACTATAATTATTGATTTCTTCTAGTTTTAAATTTAGTTGTTCAGCCTCTTTTCTTAAGCTTTCAATATGATTCTCAAGATAAAAATTCTCATTAGACTTCGATCCATTTGTCTTTGTAATCATTTGCTTTTTCAAATCTTGTTTATCTTCATCCATTAGATCTTCTAGCTGTTGTTGTATTATATATGTTTTTTCTTCGATTTCGTTTGATCTCATTTGGTATTCATAAATTTGTTCTATTAAATCCAATTGAGGATTGGTTGATAATTTTGATTTTAATGATTTCAAGTTTTTGTTCAATAAGTTATGAACATGTAGTACATGTTCAAAATCTTCTTGAAGTTTTCTTTGATGTTCCAAATAATGATCGATACAGTATAACAGTCCGCATCCTTGGCAGTAGTTCGTAGCTTCTGATTCACATTTAACGTCATATTTACAATATTTGTTCGATAGTTCATTAACTGGTTTCGAAGAAATCATTTTTCGACGAATCCAAATAAATTGTATTAGAATCTAAAATTAGTAAAAGTACAAGATAAATACAGCTGATTGGGATTTCATGTCTATAAATTTTCAGACTCGAGCAATGACAATGAGAGCCAAAACTTATTCTCGAAAAATTGATAGTTGTAAAAAATAATCACTACTTGTGACATTCCGATTCCATCAGAATTCACTTCTCTCGACCATTCTGTTTCATTCTTTTTCTTTTTTATCATGAATTGTTCTAGAAATTTGTGCTAATTGTTATTGAGAAAGAATGTTCCAAAAATTTATCTCGAAAACTCTCTCAACAACTGTCAAGACAGTCTTCGACGGAGTTGTTGAAAAAAGTGAATTGCTACGGAGTTAGAATTTGGCAGCAGCTCAAACTGACGAAAAGTACAGTTATAAATCAACTGATATCAGAGTCCAAGTCCTTTTTTGATCCCCTTCCACTGTTTTTTTTCATCAAGATTTTATCATTGATTTCAATAAGGAAATGTTATTTTGTCTGAAATCTTCAAACTAACATCTACCCTGCTTTCTAAAAATTACTTTACAAAGAACACAACTCTTATTCAAGAAGCGATACCTAAACTAGGTTATGTTTTTTTTTCAAATCATAGAAGAATATTCTCACTTTATTCCATTCTAGAGAACACCAAGGTAGCATTTTCTTATTGAAGTCAATAATAGAAGCTGAATCTAGTGTCCATTATAAGTGTCCATATGACTTTGTTACCGACAAAGACTCAGTTTGTACGACTAAAACATTTGTATATTTTGCTGTGTGTAGAAAATAGCAAAAAAAATGGATGACTAATCTTTGATACTCTCGATATATCATCATTTTATTCTTGCAAGCTACACTCTATGTTGATGTTAACGTTTCTTTCATTTCCATCTATGTTTATTGCAATCGCTTGTTTTTCTTAAAAACTTGATAGAAACACTTATACTCGCCATTCAATATCGAATTCAGTAAAATTTTCTGAGAATAACGAGTAGAAAACAATAAGAATACAAATAGAAAAACAAACTGATAAAACAGTGCATAACGAGATGGATATCTCGCTTACGAACGCTTAAGATGCTCCTCATCTTAACTCAAATTGGAACCTGAAAAAATTCTGATCAAACCTTAAATGACGATAGTAAACTTATAATAAATGTCTTATTTGCATCATTCAGCATTGAAAATGTCCAACAGCCATTCCCTATTCTGCAATTCAAACTTGGCAACGCATCATGCACTTGATAAAACGACAAAGAAAAAACGTACTCATTGCTCCGAAGAAAAAAAAGAACGTCCTTGATTTGTTTATTACATGAATACAGTCTCGTCACCTGAGAGAAGAATGATTAATCGCGTCGTATTATACCAGAAGAATTAGAATCGCAACAATCAGCGATAAATGAAAAAAAAATGCGAAAATCATCATGCCTTTATATATAACGCAAAAGTCGCCAATAATTCACGATGAATGGTCAGTTTATACCTCTTTCCGTTGCAAACTATGCTCGCCAAATGTATTGCAATTTTCTCAATATGCATAGAAAGAGAGAATGAAGACTACATTTTGTGTTTCAAGTTATAAAAGATTCTTTCAATATCGAAATATAAATTTATCTACTCGTAATGCCCCTAGCACAGCGAAAGACAGCATGACGTACATAATTTTTTTCTCACCTACATGGAGGCTCCATAGGTGTCAGCGGACGTATCGAGTGTTGTACATGCATGAATCATTCTTGTGAGATACTATGACGTTTTTTTCTTTTATTAACATCAATGAAAAAAACAATGCTCGCCTTATTTCTTTCTTTCCTTTTATTAACATCAATGGAAAAAAAAATGCTCGCCTTGTTTCTTTTTTTCTTCACATATGTCAAGATAATCAAAGTATATTTTCTCGTTACTGCATCATTTTGGGATGCATGGCCATTTCTAATTGCTAAGGGAGTCTGTTTCACATTCATTTCACTCTCTTGTCCACTCTCGAACAGCAATTGTCTTCGTTTCATTTATTCCTCATGGTAACGACTTTGTCCCTGTTTTCATCAAAACTTCATTGAGTATTACTTTGACTCTTTCACTTTTTCTTCCTCTTTTCTGCTTGTGTAAAAGAAAAATAACAGACGAGTTACACATTTTATCATATTCTGATGTTAACTTAATAGATCTAACAAATGTGGCAGAATACATCGTAGTCTCAATATTCCGTTGATAATTAAGACAATTTCTATCATTCTGATCTTATCTTTTTTCTAAAAAGATTCACCATGTAATTTTACGCGAGACACTATAATTTACTGAGATAATACATTTTTCTCTATTTCTAGAACATAGCTTATATGAGCAATTATGTTGCCCAAAGTTTTCCAAACCTACACTGTTTTCATTCTTTCTCGAAGACAGTATTTGTATTTTTATAGCACTGTATAAGCTATCTTCTAGAAATAGAGAAAAAATGATTAGTCAAATAAATTATAGTGTCTTGTGTAGAATTACATGGTGAATCTTGTTGGAAAAAAGATCAGATCAGAATGATAAAAATTGTTCGAGCTATCAATAAATTACTGAGGTTGCTATCTATTCTAACACACCCGTTCAATATCGAGATTCAAAGACTTTTTTTGAACTAAATCTTTTGAAAGTTGAAACACATAACATGAAGAGTCTATATGAGAAATTTCATTTCTGACTACTGAAAAATAAGGAAGAAAAGAATTTGATAATAAACCGAAAAAATGAATTTTTTCAATGTAATTGCTGGCTAGGTTTCAGTTCGATAGACTATAGATCTAAATTCTTTCAGAGCTTCCTTAGTCTCACCGAGCCATACTTACAGCCAAAATATAAGGTCGAACAGTATCCGATAGTTTGGGAGATTTCTCCTCGTCAGTTTGTGGGAGCCTATGAACTACAATATCTTTATTGTATTCGACATATGTTTCTAGTAAATGTGCAAGTCAGATTATATATATAGAAGCTGATAGAGAAATCTAACCGCTATAAGAGAAAGTATATATTTACGCTCACGATGTAAGAGTAGTGTTTGGTAATATCAACAACAATTATATTAGACTAAGATCTGTTGAAAATGAAAATGTCAAAAAAAGTATCACACTGGTTAGTGATTGAAGTTTCTGAAGAAAAGAGGAATAAAAGTGAACTTGGTCTTTCTTCATATATATTCTATAGTAGCTTTCTAGATGTGTCAGAGGTTTTTCAGAAAATAAGAAGCATACTCATTTGAGATTCTCGACGAATTCATCGAGTTTTGTCATATAAATAGGAGCCGCTCACAGGACCGAAGATAACGGAGTGTACGAGGGTATTTTCGAAGACGGTTCATAAAGGTAGCGTGAGATATTGGAAAAAAATCGTACTCATCACTGAGAAGAATGGAGAATTTTCGATTATTACCAGTATACACCCTTTCAATTTCCTCTCACTCACGCGGGCACTGCATATAAAAACCTCGCACAGTATTAACCATACTACTATTTATATCATATGTGATGCTAGAAGTTAAGAGTATCGTATTATTGTTTCAAAACATTGAGACTCGATTACTTGAGCGAATTTTGACCAAAAAATACTCACACTTTTCATCTGTATAGATTGTTCATTCTTCGGATAACACTTGTGTTTTATGCATACTAATATCTACCTTCATTAAGATACATTACTGTAACGAAAAGCTGGCGTACCTGTGTACATTTACACTCAGTATTGATGTTTATTGTGTTACTTCATCACTCTAATCGTTATGGCAAATGGAAAAGAATACACGGCTTGTGCCTCACAGCACGACGCTTATTGAGCTGTAATCGACCTCCAAGCATATACCTCTCCAAATGCATCTATTTTACATATGATACGAGCTTATTTACGAGAAACATGAATGAGAAGAGAAAAAGGACGAATGCAAGATAACGGCAACAAGAGAACGGGACGCAATCACACAGAGGACAATAAAAGAGAAGCAGTTACGCAGATTGATAGCTAATGTATAACAAGATAAAATGAAAGGAGAAGTATTGTGCAAGAGTGACGTGCTGATCGGCACAATTGCCCTAGTTTATTTATGTATAGCGATAATGATAACGCAATTTATCCCTTATGCACCGCCAATCACTGGAAAAGTAAGTGTCTACTTTAAAAGAGTTCACCTTTTCGAGTTATTCTTAGAAAGTGACGCAAAAGAGGAATAATCGACCAAAAACGGACAAACACGATGGGTTCGGAAAAAAAGAAGAATAGGAAAATCATTCATAATCCAAATATCACAATGACATTTGCACATGCCTCA